TATTTTTCTAATGAGTTAGACGAACGATTTTTGTCTATTGATTTAATTTTAAAATATTTTTATATTATATTAATATTTAAACAAACAAAAAATAATAGTAATAATGAATAAATAAATTAAGACTTATGCTCATTGATTAAAAGTAATTCTAAGGGTTTTTTTTAAATAACGAATATTATTCATATCATATATAAAATAAATAAATTTTTATTTCTAACATTCTTACAGTTTTCTGCAACTAAACTAGTTCCATTTTCAATCAATTGTCAATTAAAAATCCCAACTAGTTCCGATTGGTTCACAATTCAGTTCACAATTTGATCGATAATTGATAGGCAACACGTCACACAATAACAAATCATACTTTATTGACCACCAGTTGCTTCATTGTCACACGCACCTAGGTAGCGTGAGAACCGTTACATCAATTAAAACTCGTAGCAGAAAGCAGAGAGACCGCAAAGGGCCAGGCGCAAAAAAAGCTTTTTGCATCCGCTCGCCCACACAGCGAGGCACGCGAACTGCTGCTGCTGTCGCTGGGTGGGTGGCTTAGGGGCAATGCGTGGCAGGCTTACAACGACATGCCACAGCGACGACAATGTTCGTCCCTCGCTCGCCGACCTCCAAGCAGCAGTAGCAACAGCACCAGCAACAGACGGCGGCAGCGGTAGCAATTTCTATCCGCTGCTCGTTAGAAGAAGCGATGATGTCGACTGCGCTGGTCGGCAACAGTTTGAAAGTTTTTCATGTCGTCGGCGTCGGCTTGCCCCCCAAAGTTGCCTGTGCCTCTGCGCTGCTTCTTCTGCCTCTGTCCGTGCCAGCGCCAGCGCCAGCGCCTGTTGCCAGCTACCAGTTGCCAGTTTCGACGGCTCTGCATTTGCTGTGCGCCTAGTTGAAAATCCAACTAATTGCTTATTTTAACCCCTTCAAAACTGGGCACACACACACACACAAACACATATACACAATGGGCCTTGCCTGGCCCGGCTTTCGTGTTTATTAATTAACAACACAAAACCCCAAACTCACAAAGGCAGCACACACACACATGCCTATACACACATACACACACACATACACGTGCGCACGCATACAGCTTAACCAAAGTGTTGTCTCCGGCATTCATTAGTGTTCATTAGTGAAACAAAATGCTCATTTACTTAACTACTCCCGGGCTCGTAACGAGCGTCCCATCTCCCTCTTTCTCCTTTCAGTGCGCCACTCACTCACTCACCTACTCACTCACTCACCCACTCTCTCTCTCTCTCTGTTTCGCTCTTTCTACCCGATTGCTGCACTCACTTATCGGCACTCGGCGAGTCACTCCGTTCCTGCTCTTGGCTCTTTTCACTGGCTGCTGCTGCTGCTGGTAGTTGTTGTTGTTACTGCCGCTCTTCTGTTGCCAATTAAAATTCCATTTATGCCAAGTTAACTCACTTGGCTCGTTAATTGTTGTGGTTTTTTAATTGGACCCTTTTCGGTGCTGCTGAAATTGAATTGAATTGAACAACAAAAAGAACAATCGCATGAATGGCAGCGGCTCCGGCATGGACTATATCCACCTCCATTGCCCAGGCAGTTCTACCTATGTACGTACATACATATATACCTGAGCTATAGAGACCGGTACTGGCAGTGCCACTGGCACTGGCTTCAACTATGGTGCAATGTCATTGAAGACCACCAAAACCTTCCCACTCTCTACACTGTCCCATTGGGCGCGCTTATTCGTTGAGATTCATAGGGTTGCCAGGCTGT